AATCTGGCATAACTTCAAGATTGGCCCTACTTGGAGTTGAGGGTTCAACCAGAAGACCTCAACAGGTCCCCCGCCACCCAGAAGAGGGTGAAGATGGTATAGTAGGTTTAAATAATTTTAAATTTAATTTTGCTTTCTTTGTGGGTTTGAGTTAGGTATATACTGTGTCAACGAAAACCTTACTGGTTTCATAAAGACCGTATTTAAATCCACTTGGGAATGTTAATGAGTAAGTGGGGATTCAATTCGCTATAAAGGTGGGCAGAGTGATTCTGCAGGGTAAATGCAGCTGCTCATGAAAAAGGCTTTGTGTACCAACAGCTGCATTACGTATACCCCTGGTGTCAGCAGGTGCACATAAACCCTTCTTCCTTAGGCGCTAAAGCTGCAGAGGGAGCTTTATGAGACAGCAACCGTACCTGAGTGGCCCACCAAGTTTGTAAGCATTCAACAGTTTGTTCATAACCTTTCACCTTATGGAAGAATAACTTTAACTTATTTGAAAAACTTAGAAACACACTCACAAATACTAGTTTTAGTCATAGTATCCCATGTACCAATTTTTTAAAGAAATACGTCATGTAGAAAAAGTAAGTAATAAAAAAGAACATTGAAAATAGATGGTTATACTGGTCAGGAAAACATGATTACATTCAGATTCTGTTTTTTTTCCTGTTGATTTATGAAAAAAGGAAAAAAGTTATGAGATTAAATTTAACCAAACTTCACTGAAAATTCAAAATAATGAAAACATTTTCTCTGTGCTAAATTTCACACTAGGAAAGGTTTGCAGATTGCAGTGAACAATCTAGTGAATGCATAAAGTGATGCTGTGAGCAAAATAGCCGGCAGAAGTATAAATGGGAGGAGGATGAATATGAGAAGATGACAGAAAGCTTTCATTAGTCCTGTTTAGAACGCATGAAGGTTCTGTTGAAAAAGTAAGCCCAGCTCTAGTCAGCACAACGCAGCAATGGTGAGACTGGAGAAGGTTCAGAGAAGAGCTCTAATGCTGAATAAAATCCAGCACTGAAGTGTGTTTATCAAATCTGTTTCCCATCTGGAAGATGGTGCTTTCCCTTTAAAGAATAGCAGTTAGGAATAACGTAATTACTGGGCTTTGTTGCACACAATGGTATTTGTAACCCGGGTTTTGGGTTTTGGCCTTAGATGACAAAATGCATTTGATCATGAGTTATAAGCTTGTGGATCTGAGCATATGTATGTAGTTAAAGCCCCTCTCACACCCAGTTTGACAAGGACGCTCAGCCACATCAGACTCAGGGGTTTTTGCCGAAGTTGAGACCATAGACTTTGTGCTACATCTTTTATGTTTGTACTGCAGCAAGTTAAAAGGTCTTCCTTGCTTTTCCTGGTGAGTTTAGGTACTAGTTTAATAAAGACTTTTGGATACATTAAAGGAAATGTGAATTTGGGAAAAACCAAGCTTTCATAAATAAGAAATGTTGGAATTAAAATTACCTGTGCAATTCTAAATTGGATGGCCTATAGTCATAAAATTAAAGACATACTTTTTTTTTTTTTTTTTTTTTTTCCCCCCAGAGGACCACTGTTTCTCTTAGCATAGGAGAACAAATGAATCACGACTGTGAGGTAAATGAGATTATTGCCTGTATAACTCCTAGCTTATTTGCACAGATACAGCAAATGAGGCCAGAGGAAAAGCTCTGTCTCTCCAGAACTCTTTGCCTCAGGTTTTTTTCACATATGAGCTACTCTCATTTGCCATGTTATTTCAAGGTAATATTCTGATTTATCTGCTCCTCAGACAGAACTAACCTTTAATCCCTTTGCTGCCTGCCTGTGTACGGGCAGAGTGGAAGAGCTTCCAGAAGACAGAGTAATTTCTCTGCTGAGTACAACTGATGGAGAGGGACACTTAGAAAGGTTGTCTTCTCCAGCTGCTGCAGCCCAGTGCTGGAGCATGCCCACTTGCCTTCTGGAGATGATGCCAAAGTACCCCACCTAGAACTGTGGCGTTTACTGTAGGTAGGATCTGTGGTTAATTTAGAAGCAAAGCTCTAATTGAGCATATATGAACTATACTCCTTCCACCCCCATTTCCTAATAGGTCTAAATTCAAATACATTTCCAATGGCCATCCCTCCCACACCCAAGTTCTTTCTCCAGAAGAGGAAAATATTAGAAGTTTACAGTGACTTGGTTGCAAAGGCTTTTTTAACATGGGCGAGTATAGTGAGAAAGATAGTTTTCCTTTAATTTGTTTGGAGAAACAATTGAACTATTTTTGCCCAATGAAAGAAGAAAGCTGAAAAAAAAAAATTGAGTCAGACACAAGCACGGGAAATTGTATGTAGCACAGTAGGGCAAAATGTAACCATCTGAAAAACAAGGGTTATGATCAAAAAAGTATTGGAGAAGCCTAATTGCAAGCAGAGTTAGCCATACCACCAGTAACAATGTATAATCTGTGGATAGCTGCAGAAAAACTTGGGGTTGCACACCCATCTGAGAAAACGTCAAAAATAACAATTATTACAGTGTGTAGAGTATAGCTCGCCATGATCACCGCATGAAAATGTAAAGCTTTTCTTTTACGATGATAGGATTTCTGCATCGTGGATTGCTTCTTGAACTGCAGGGCAATGTTTAACGATCGCCCTCCAGCCCTTAATAATTTTTAACTCCTGCGTTCACCCCTCCGACCCAGGAGAAGCCTGCATCTTCATCCCCTCGCTCCCGCGAGTGAGGTACACTCGATGCTGTGTGAGACACGATTTTCAGCGTATGTGTGCTGTCTTTTCTTCTTTTTTTTTTTTTTTTTTTTTTTTTCTCCCGGGGGCAAAGAGAGGACTGATGAGGATTAAGACTCTTCCCCTCCCTACGACCACCCCTCCCTGTTTTTGTGAAGATGAGCCATTGAAAGCCGTATCGGGGTTGATTGCTCCAGTCCCGCTTGAGAGCGAGGTTCCTCCACGGGCGGACCGCAAAGGGCCCCATTTAAAGTCTTGCTCTCCGAGGGCGAAGGACTTTTTTTTTTTTTCTTTTTTTTCTTTTTTTTTTCTCTCTCTTCCCCCCCCCCCCCCCCCTTTTCTTTCCCCTTCCTTCCCCTTTCTCCCCCGTGCGGGTGCCGAGGAGGAGGCTCCCTTGGCGGAGGAGGCTCCCGGCAGCGCTGCGCAGGGCTGCGGGGAGGGAGCGGGGCGGCTGCCATTGTCCCTGCGGGCGGGGAGCGGGGCAGCCCCGCGGCCCGGCGGGCGGCGGCAGCGCCGGCCCGGGCCGCCCCCCGGTACCGCCCGGTGCCGCCCGGCCCGGCCCGGCCCGGCCCGGCCTCCCGCGGCCCGGCCGCTGCCGCCGTGCCCGGGGGCAGGGGGGAGTGACTTGTGCCTCCCCCCGCCTCCTCCCCGTCCAGCCCTCTTCTGGGGGGGGGGGGGGGGGAGGAGGAGGAGGAGGAGGAGGAGGGCGAGTGGTGGGAGGGTCTCCATTGAAATAAACAAGCAGGCAGTTATTAAAACGGGAACATGGCGGCCGCAGCCCCAGCTTCAGCTTCATCTTACAAAGCGAAGGTCAGCGCCGGCGGCAGCCGCGGCGGGAGACGGCACTGACCCCCGGTAACGGCTCCCGCACGCCCCCTCGGCCCCGGTGCGGCGGGGGGTGTGCCCGAGCCCCCCCCCGCGCCTCCCCGGCCGCCTTGTGTAACGCCGGGGGGACGCCCGGGGCCGCGCCGGTGCGCGGAGGGGCGGCGTTGGCGGGCGGCACCGCGGCCGCGGCGAGGCGGCTTCCCCCTGCGCCGGCGGCGGGGAGGGGGGGGGGGGCGGAAAGCGGGGCGGGGGCCGCGGCCCCCTCCGTGGGGAACCGGAGGGGAGCCGGGGGCAGGGGACCGGCGCGGCTGCCCCTCGCCGGGGCATCGTGCTCGTACCGCCGGAGCCCGGCGCTGGGCGGGGGTGGGGGGGTGCGCGGGTTGACTTCCCCGGGACGTCCCCCGTTTTGGCGGAGCGGGGTGGGGGCAGGCGGTACCGCACCCCGCCCTGCCGGGCCGAGGGGGGCTGGTTTCCTGCTCCCAGGCCAGGCGGAGGGTGGGTGCCGCCTCTCCGCGCCCCTGGCTGGGGGGCGGCGGGGGGGCGGGGGGGGAGAGTGCGAGGAGCCGGGGGAAGCGAGGGGTGCTTGCGGCTGCTCCCGGGGGCAGGGGCTGCCCTGCCCGTGCCAGGGGCGGATGGGGCAGCTGAGGTGCGATTTTCAGGGGATTTTGTTTAGGACATCCCCCTCCGAGCCCCTCCGCCAGCACTCGCCGACAGGGAAACTTGAGGGAGGGTCTCTTCTCGCTGACAAAAGGGGCGATTTGGGGAGCAGGGGCGGTGTTCACACACCCCCCCCCCCCCTTCCCCGGCTGACAGCGGCTCAGCGCGCAAGGGTGCGGGGCCGCTCCGCTTTCCCTCCGCGGGGCCGAGCCGGCCGCCCCCCTTTTCCTTCCCCGCGCCGGGCAGGGCCCGCGGTGCCCGGTTGCCGTCTCCCCATCCCCCTGCGCTGGAGCCGGGGCTCCCCGCCGCTCCGCGCCCGCCCGAGACGCGCGGGGAAGGAGGGGGCCAAACGGGCAACTTCTCTTAACTTTCTGCGCCGTTGAGGTGGGGGGGGGGGGGGGGGTGGGGGTTGCGCCTGCGTGTGCGCGGCGGGCCGCGCCGTGGGGCGCGCCGCAGTCGCGCAGCCAGGCCGCGGCGGCATAGCTGCGTGGGAGCGCAGCCCCCGGGGCGCCCGGCCGCCGCCGCCGCCTCCTCCCCACGGCCACGGGAGGGGTGGGGGCCCGGCCGCCGCAGTGCCGTGTGGCTGCGTGTGTGTGCGCGGGGCGGGGAGCGGCGGGAGGAGGAGGAGGAGGAGGGGGATGGCATGGCAGCGGCTGGGCGCGGGGCCGGGGTCTCTGGGTGGGTGCCGCTGGCGGGGCGGGCGGCGCCGCTCGCTCCCGCGGGGCTGCGCGCAAGGCGGCGGGGGGGAGCGGGCCCCGACACGCGTGGGGGGGGTGGGGTGAGGTGTGTGTGCGCGTTGAGGGGTGGTAGATGTCCGCCGCCTCCGCGGAGGGCGGGTGCTCAACCCCTGCCCGCCTCCGCGGGGGGCGGTGTGCGCGCCGCCGCCTCCGCGGGGACCGGCGCTGGTCGGCGGCTGCGGGGCGCGGTGTAACCGGAGCCGCGTCCCTCGCTCCTTCCCCTCCGCTCGGGCCTGAGCGATTCCCCCCCCCCCCCCCCCAGCCCGCGAATCACACGGCTCCTCGTCCAGAGAGGGGCATTCAGGCCGTGCGGGTTGTCTGCGGGAAACCTGCCTGAGAGCCTGGAAAAGAAAAAAAAAAAAAAGAAAAAAAAAAAAAAAAAAAAAAAAGGTGGGGGGGGTGGGGAAGGAAAAAAAAAAAAAAAGAAGGTGGGGGGAAAAGCAAGGAGGTTGCTGGCAGTCACCGGGAAATAATGATATCTGATTCTTAGTTTGTGTTAGCCTGTATACTTCTGTCTGAAGCGTGCGTATGCGGGAGCCCACTGTCTAAATACACTTGTAATTTAGCCAGGAAAGAGTCTCCTTGTGAAAGGAGAACAGCCTGCTCGTTCAGTATTAATCAATTGCTTTTGTATTTATGTGTGGGATTTTTTTTTTTTTTTTTTTTTTTTTACTTTCAGAGTAGTAGATGAATAGGCTCTAGAACTGAACCGATAATATTTTTATGGTATTTAAGTGTAGTTTCAGCTAAGCGTATAGCGTCTGGCTACGACAGTTACAGCAGAGCTCTATTGCTGCTGTAAATAAGTAAGCAGTTTAAGACTGCCAGTCTTTCTACTTAAAGCATTTTGTGTGTGTGTGTGTGTGTTCTTATTTTGCTGCCATTGTGACTGAAGGCAGTCATTTGGTTTTTTTATCCCTTTGGGTTTTTATATACTGAACTATAAAATCAACTCCAGTCAGTTAATTTCCTGGCTCTTCACAGCCCGATAGCAGCGTTGGGCCACCTGGTGGGCTCCTCTCATGGGGGAATCCTCTGCGAGTGATGAGCCGGAGGGAGCTGCTGGTCTGCTGTGTTGGATGCTCTTGGAGACATGACAACATTGCACACCCGTGTTAATTCATACCGCAACTATTCTTCCCCAAAGCAGGGCTCTTGTTTGCTCACACGCAGCTGAAGACCACTGTGAATGGAAACCGGTTGTTTTTATCGCAGTTGGTGTAGGTACTGTGCCTCCTACGTATCTTTCAGGACACTTTCCTTGTTTACATCAGCAGTGGTGTCATAAATAGGATATACCAGGCTTGTGCATATTTGCACGTACAGACGTGTGTACAGGCACGTATGGACGCTTGTGCATTTGTGTTTCTTATTTTGGTGTTTGTGATACTGCTGCTTGGGGACTTGAACACAGAAGTCAGCTCTGCTGTGTCACAGGAGATAAAGGAAGATGTAAATTGCCTCTGAATGGTTAATCCTTAAGTTTATGAGAAGTGCTGTGATAAGCTTAATGTTCATAGCTGCTCTTGGTCATCTTGTAGTCAGTCTTGTAGAAAATACTTTGTCATTGACTCAACCTCCATAAATATTGAGAGCAACTTTAAGAAAAGTCAATCTTTTTAACATCATGCAAATATTTGAAGTATCATGTGATTTTTTTTTTAATATGTTCGTATCGCGTTTTGGTGGGCGTTATGCTATAAATGCCTGACAGAGGTGGTGTAATCATCTCCTAAAAACTGAAGATTTCTCTATTTTGTCTTTTCTCAAGCTTGTGATATTTCCTAGGGAGAGGATCTGTGTATGATGTTCTTCGTCAGTATCACTGCAATGTCTGAAGGCCCTTCTTTAATGTAAATCTCCTTGTGTTCCTCGTTGTGTGTCCTGGTAGCGTCAGTGCTAAATTTGAAACTTGAGACATTTGAGAAAGGAATACTGTATTGGCATCAAGAATGATATCGTGGGAATAAGACAGTTCAATTTAAGTTTTTAAGCTGAAACGACGTTATTTCAGAGAGAAAATAATTTCTGGTAGAAAAATTAGAAAATGCTAGGGAATTACTCACCTGCAGTGTAGTGTATTGCTTTAAACTGAAGCTCTGAAGCCAAAATTAATTATTTAAGAATAATGTTTGCGTTTTTATAATCATTTAGGATGTCGCTTGATCATTGTAAGGCTGAAAGGCTCTGTTAGAAGAGGCACGTAAGCTGTCTGTAGTGTTGCCACTTCCAACTTTTCCCTCTGTCCTCAATAAAACCAGTGAGAGCTGGCCCATCTGCAGGGAGCCCAGGTTTTGCAGCAGGAAGAACAAAGTCAGTGAGCGAGCCAGCTGCTGCTACAATGCCCACTGTCTTCTGCTCCTTGTCTTTGTTGCTGATGTCACTGTTTCTTTGGCAAAATCTGGGCTTCTGCACTCAGCTGGAGTTCCTCTGGCACCTGACACCAGAACTGCAGAAATTGTGGGGGCTTGTGAGGTCTAAGACTTGAGGATGCTGTCAGTTCATTTAAAAGAAAAAGCTGAACTAAGGACTGGTACCAAATTCAAGTATAAATGTAATTCTCTTTGTCTGCCGAGTGCTAATAGATTGTGCGCTGGAGAATGGGAACACTGGACTAAAACTGTTCTTGCTGCGTGCATTTTTTTTGTAGGTTTGCTGTGGTTTGCCTCTCTAAACAAGGCAGTTTGTATGAAAGTTAGGTATAAAGTATTTAACAAATACCACACATTTCTTCAGTGTTCTTACAGTCATTAAAATGCTCAGTATTCATTTATTTCTATGTTTGGCTTTGGAGGTCAGAGGTTAGATGTATTGTTACAGTATATACTCCTCTGCGTGACACAGCCTTTTAAACTAAGAACAGAGTAATGTCAATGTTTACTTTATAAAAGGCATACTGCAGCATCCATTCGTCCACCCATTTTCTACTATTAGTTAATTTAGTTGCAGGCAACTACTCTGGCAGGATCCCTTATTTTTATTTTGAAACGAGGTGAAGTTCACTGCACTACTTTATTTTTGTTAGTTGTTAAAACATTCTCATGCTCCTGGTGGCAGATAATGACAAATCCTTCAATGTAGTGCTGGGAGCACGGGAGGTGGGGAGGGGGGGGTAAGAAACCCCCTCCTGAGCATATGGAGACATCCAGAAAAAGATGTGCATCGTCAGCTGTGATTCCATTGTGTGCTTGCAGACGGGATCTGGGCTCTTCTTCTCTTGGGAATTTAAACCTTACAGAAGTATTCTTTGGCTTTTACCCATCAGGATAATTGAGCTTAGACAACATATTTCACATATTTATTATAGATAATATTTTGATAATATTTTAAGATTTCAGGGAATAAATACAGTTGCCAGGACTCCTGCTCTGTGTTGGAATAATATTTTGAACAGGCATACATACATATTGGTGAAATGGCAACTTTGAGTAGTAAGAATAATTTGTAATATTACATCAGTGGTTACATATTACTAAGACATCTTACCAGTTCTACAGTTAGTAGTTTGTCAGCAGTATTTACATTATGTAAGCACTCCCTGTTTTTAATGATTCAGTAGCTTAGCCTTTTCAAAACATACCGAGTAGAAATGTGACATGAAAAATGACAGCTTGTATAGTTTAATCAATTTAGGATATAGAATTAAAAAAAAACCCAAACCAAACCAAAACAAAAAAAACCCCAAACCTGAAACAAACCAACCAGGGAATATTTTAAACAGAGTTTTAAAGCAAAGCTATTTTGTCAGTGTTTTGAGTATTCAGAAATAGTATTTACATGATGAAAAAACTAGGAAGATATTAATTTTCTTTTATTCAGTCCTGTATTTACCTATTACCTAGAACAGCTTTTTCTCTCCTGAGCATTTGGAATGCTTTTGCTGATTTTATACAATTATTTTGAGTTGATGAATAGTTCGAAAAATAGATCTTGAATGTGGTGGATTTACTGAGTTGCATTATGTTCCTGTTTGTGATTTTTCAATCTTGTTCTATGGAAATTGCATGTTATTCAAGTTAGACTAATGGAAATTTTACTTAAGAGTTGTATGGAAATAAAATAGGCACAATTCCTATGGAAAGTGTATGGTCACTGGGGTGTTTGGAATTTTGAAGTTTGAAATTGGTTCATTAATTTAAATGTCTGAAGCTATACAATGTATTAACAATGCACACTTTTTTTTTTTTTTCTTCCCACAGCTGCATCATTATACCATTCCAAGACTTGCATTTCCTTAAATGGCTTCCATAACAATCTCCCATTAATACAGTTACTGGCAGATATTATTCTTGCTTTGCTCTCATTTTAGCGGTTATATCTGATAGTAAATCTCACTCTTTCTGTGTGAGTGCTCCCATTACTTAGGTATTCAGAAGCCTGTTTGTAATATGCATTTGCTTTTTGCAGCTAAGATGCAGTGCCCTTTGTAATGCCTAATTGCATTTTTCAGTTTGTTTTTAAACTTCAAGAAGTTATTTGCTGTTTGGGAAGGATAACTTGTATTTTTAAAAAATATTCCACATTAGATGGAAACCATTAATGTATTAATGAAAGGGCAGAGAGTATAGGTAAACCAATTAATTAAAATATCTACTGAATGTGTTGATTTATCCATAAATCTTAGGTAGTATGGATCTCATGAGCTTCTGGTGGGGGGGGATCCTGGGACACAGTGAGAACATATATCTGATGTAGTGATGACTGAGTGTTGCTATTTTGATGCTTTTTTAGTGAGCTATGTAAGACATATTGTTGCTCTTTGGTAGGATTTATAGTGGGCATATCACAATTGGCTGCTTTATTGGCTGCCTCGGTGGAAAAGTCTGGGATTGAAGAATGGGCATGGAAAGTGAAATAACATTTTACTTGTTAGGTCAGAATTATTATGGAATTTTACTCTTACTCTGCCCATGCTGTAATTCATCTGTGTGTGAACTGACTTAGTTTTTCATTGCTGTCAGTATTGATCTCTAATGAGCCTTGCCCATGCATTTTGAAGAAAATCGCTCCAATTAAAAACAATGCAGTATGTCACCTATTTGTACCCCACAGATTACAGACGAGGTACTAAATTGCATTTAAAAAGAAAACTTTATGAGGATGGAGGAAAGTCTGCCTATGAATAAATTCGATACTATATAGTTACGCTTTTGTTACAGGTATTTTTGTGAACTTACAAATTCATCATATGCCTGTGTGATGAAATCAAGTTTTAAAAAAACCCCACACAAACCCCAAGGTCATATGTTTTAATACTTGTGCAAGTGAGGGTTCAGATCTCACCCAGTCTGCAGTGGAGATGACTTTTCTTCATACTTGTTCCACCATGCTTTAGGTTCACGAGGTAGCTCTAAAGTCCTTATTCTTTACTATTTCAAAATTAATGTCAGGAGTAACCACTTAGGTTATTCCCATAAATAAATGTGATTAGCAAGTGAAATCAGTTGACAATGCCCTTACACAAGTTGGTACTTTGGTTCCAGAGATATGAGCAATGTCGTCCTCCTGTTCTATCTATTTCTTAAAACGGATTCTTTGTGGAGGAAGATTGAGTCTATACAGATAGATACTTTTTTTTTATTTTATTTTATTTTAGCAGATTTCAGTTGTATTCTTAAGGAGAAAAGCTGTTCCTCAAGTATAAATATTTGTATTTTTTCCAAAATAAAAATTTGCAACTAGAAAGATACTATTTTGTTTCAGTGTGGCCAGAATACTTGTTGCCTTTATCTTAAAAGAAAAAGTAAACCTGTTGATACTTTACTGGCTACAAAATGTAGCTCTAATAGCATAGTTTAAATCTTTTTTTTTTAATTGCTTGGCAATTTGTTGGTATTTGCAGTGCAAACATACTTTTGCTTGTCTTGCTTTTTTTTTTTTCCTTTTTTTTCTTTCTAAGAGTCATGGCTTACTTTGATACAATGATACTGAATTTTTAGTGAAGCCTCAAACTATTTTCTTGTTACAGTTCTGTGTTAAATTAATATTAACTGCACAATGGTGAGATCATTTGTGGCACCATTTCTTCTTAGTAGAAGAATGAGGTAACCTGAAGACTGTATGTAGATAAAAAACTACGTTCACTAAGCTTGCACACTGTAGATGATGGTCTCTTCCAAGTATGTCTAAAGTGGTAGTCGTTCACACCCTTTTAGCTAAACTGTAGTTTGTAGAGTTGATACTGTGAGTTTTGTTCACAACTACAGTTTTTATGGAGCAGGGAGGTAACACATCTTAGGTTCTTGGAATACAGGTGTCCCTTTGCACTGGAAAAGGAAGACATGACTGTGCATGAATGGAAAATAAAGACATAAAGAGCTCTCGAGTTAGAGGATGGCGTGTTATTCTGGGCCATATCAATTGCTTTTAGTTATTATTTGACCCTTAAAAAGTCTTCTTTTACTCCTTGTGGGATGGAGGATTGGTAGTGTTGGCAAGCATGGAAAATGATGGCAATGCTGTATTCCATTTTTATATTGTAGCTAAAGCTGATAATTTGTGTACTGTTTGGGGCAGAGACCTTGCATGAAGGCCTACCTACCGGCCTCTGAGCACCACCGTTAACAGCATTATGATACTGTGAAAGCTGGCTTTTTGCAGGAGTGCTTTATCTTGAGTTTTGAGGGGCATCCCAAGAACTTCCTTGTTCTTGTGGGAACTGGCATGGGTACTAGCATTGCCTGATGCCGCAGAGCCGGCCTGCCTTTATTTCAAGCTTCAGAAAGCGCTTGAGAAGGGAAGGCAAAGGACTAATAGGTAATTTCATTGTCCATCGCTTTTCTTCACTGACTATCTGGTTTAGTTAGAGGAATAAATCTGGAATGTACCAGATTATACATCTATTCAGGTATGTAAGCTTGTCACTAGTTGCTGTATAATCCAAGAGTTTTATTTGGAAAGAAAGATCTTGTTAGTAGTATTTTGAAGGTAGTATTTCTACTGTGAAACAATAATTTATGTCTTCGTTTTCAGACAGTATTATTATTAAATGTTTTATGAGCAGAACAAATGAAAATCAGCAAAACTTGTCATTTTCATTGTTGCCACATGGCACTGTGGGCCAAAGCGTAATGGTCAGGAGCTGTGTTACTCATGTGCAGACTCTTTGAGCTGCAGTACTGGAGGCCACATAGATCATCAGGTGGTGGGACCCAAAAATACCAGTGAGCAGCCATGCTAGCTGTCAGGAAACAAAGTGGTAGTGTAGCAGTCATTCTAGTTCACTGGTGTGCAGCAGCTGAAAGACAGGAGGTGAGTGGAAAATGCTTCTGTCTGCACAGGCACTCTCATCATCATTGCTCCTCTGTGAAAAAGGTCTCCCCACCACGGGCTGGGGGCTGCCGCCTGCATCTGCTGGTGAGACAGTGGCTTCTCTTTGCTGTGTCTTTCTGAACTGCACGTGTCTAACAACAGACACTGTAAATCTCACTGGATCACCAAAAGATCTAGTAGTGCTTCAGCTAAAATTTTATTCTAAGATGAGAAGGTGCTTTCTGCCAGTGAGGACCCACTCCAAGCCCCGTGTTTGTGGCCTGTAGAGCTTGTGTGCTTTTTGGGCATTCCTGAGGAAATAATGTAGTCATATCTTCATGTATATATTTTATAGAAGAATACTTCTTTGTTAATGGTGCCCCTGAGTAGCCTGTTACTTGCCTGTGACTGAAACAACTTAAGCAGAGTTTGTTTGAAGAAGGTTTCTGAGATGGCTGAAATGACAGAAAGAATGAAGTTGTTTCTAAATTTCATTTCTCCTGAAGCATAATTTGTGCACTTTTTTTCCCCCTCTGTTGATGACTCTTGTAGTGTATCTTCCATTTTCTTTATGTTCTGCCTTTTTGTTTGTCAGAATAAGAAGGTAGAAAACTCTTTGGTAGCTTGCTTGGATGCATTTGACATAAAGTGGTGTTTGACCTACAAACAGAAATGCAGGTATAATATTTATGTGGATAGTGGCACGTTCCTCTTCCCTGAAGAAAAGTGTATTGCTGTGCAGTGTATGTCCTCTGCTCTACTGGACTCTTAAGCTCTGTACTAACAAGGAGCTTTCTCTTTTATTGTCCACTGATACTCGTAACTTGGGTCAGGAGTATTGTAAGTAGAGATTCAGAGAAAAAACATGCTTTTGTACCTACAACTTTTAATAATGGTTGAAAGACATTTTATAAGAACACTAGTTTCTCTTCTTTAGAGATTTGAAACTAATGTGTTATAGAGTCAACCAGCCAAGCAGTCAACCAAAAAAGGAACCAACTGCTTTCACAGAGGGTTCCCACAGATTCTCTTGCAAAAATAAAGGCTGTGTACCGTTAATGTAAACATCTTAGTTGTTATCACTGTGAATTTGCAGTAGGCAGCAGGTAGAGAGGAAGTTGTGTGCCTGGAGTGATTGTGCAGCTGGAAGGGGGTTGTAGTTATGTCTGGAAAAACAGATAATGCTCTGAAAAGTTTGTTTCCCTCATTGTGTTATGCTTAAAACTGCAATGTGCTACGCATCATATTTTTATTTTTCTGTGCCTGTCTCCAAAAAATGACCAATATTTTTCTCTCAATTTTGTTCCTAGCATGCTTGAGATGTATCTGAGTAGTGAGGCCCCCCTCACGCACAGCCCCTAGAAATCGTTGCCTGCCTTGCTGAGTCTTGGTGAGTTGCCTATATCCTATTGCATTTAATTGGATTGTGTTACAGTTTTATCTTCTTCACTGGGTAATTTGATGTGAGATGTCTTAAACTGATTGGGTGGATACAGCAGAACAAGCCTTCATTTTAAGTAATGTATGATACTATACAGTGGGTCAAAATGCAAACATTTTAGACACTTTCAAAAATAATGCCCAGGCTGGGTATGGAAGCTGGGATCTTGCTTTAGTGCCAGGACCAGAAATGGGACTCTCTGCTGAGAGGCTGAGGGGATCAACGTGTGATGTTCTTCCACATTAAGTTTCTTTGATATTTTATACAGTAACTAAGGAATTGACATTTTTCAAATGTGCTGATTATGATCTGTCTTTATGGCAAAGGTTGAGTATGAAATAATACAAGCTTTTCCCTCCAACTATCTACACTAATAAATTACTTAAATTGAGGGTTGAAATCGGTATAATGACACTGATGACTTAAACTGCTTGTTGCTCAAGAATTACTGTGTGATGACTCCATCAGGCAGTGCTGTGCCTGTTTAACTCTGCTCACAAGAAGGGATAATACCGCTGAGAACTAGAAAAAGGGACCCCTGCGGATTGTTTAAATGCAGACTAATAATAGTTTGGTAGTGCAGTGAAAGTAAGTAGAATATGAATGCCGTGTTTTCATTTTAGGTATGTTTCATATATCAATATGCTCACTTGGTATAAATATTTTACAAATATGCATTTGAGATTTTGTGAGAACCTTTTCAGGGTACTCATGAATAAATGTTGTCTTTTAACACGTAGAGTGACTTATTAAGGTCAGAAATATGTATTTTTGAGGCTTGAACACTAAATATAGAGGTGGGAAATGAGCCTGCTAAAAAGGTTTTAGCTGTTTGGGGGATAACTTTATAAAATGCTAGCCGTTTATGGGTAAAATTATGTACGTGCACATCAAGTATCATTTCCTCTTTTGTTAATTATGTTGAGCAATTTTTGCAAACAATGCTTTTCTTTAAACTTACTGAATTTTCTAGCATCGTTGGGTGAAAACAGATTAAGAAGCTTTCCAGTCCTTCTGTTTTTTTTCCTGCCTTTTCCCTTGGCTGTTCTAATAAAACACTTTGTAGTTCATTGTGTTCAATGGAGTTTATAATACTGGTTAATAGTTTGTTTATGTATTATGTTAACTTGAAAATGATCAGCCACATAGATGTTATTACTTATTTACACTTATTACTTATACCATGTTACTTATTTATTTACACTACTTATCTGGGCTGCATAATGATCATAATAATGTGTATGTGCAGGTCTTCTCAATAATAAGATGCTTTTTAAGATCATTTAAGCAAATTGTTTTAAGAAAGGAAATAGTGAGAATCTAAAATATTTTTTTTGTAATAGTGAATAGGACTCATAATAGAACGACTTAGGTATGTGTAATAAAGAAAGAGAAAAATGTCACTGCAAAAATTCTCCAAAGAGAACATGAAATTTTGTTGTCAAGTTGATAGTATGTTTGTTTTCAGTTGTCTCAATTGTAATTTTCCATTAAAAAAAAGGAATGCATTAAGTAGAGACTGAAAAAGGTAAATATTCAAATAAAAAGCAATTTGAATATAATTGCCTTTTTTACCCCTTAATTAATATATGTGGGCAAAACCCCCCTCTCTTGCTTATTGTTGCTACATTCTGTACCAAAATTTGGTTGTTACTATGCCAGAAAATAATCCGGTACCTTTACAGATACTAACTAAACCATAGTTGCTGTATTTGAAAAGTTCAAAACCTTTAATAAGAGCAAATAGAGATAAATATTTGTATATGAAGTCTGTGGTGATGACAGTGAGGAAGAAACAGCTGTAAAAAATGGATGTGATGAAAGGATCTAGAGGGCAAGGATGAAGTGTAGTGGTAGTTCTCCATTTCACTCTCCATCCTTTTGCTCTGAAGTGGATAGTTATCCATGTGTTCATGTGATAGTTCAGCGAAAGTAGGTTGCATAAGACAAGGAATAGTTTCAAATTTTGGTTCTTTTGAATCCTTGGAAATTCTTCCATTGATTTTTTGAATGTCCTATTCAGTCCTATTTTTGAACATAGTCAGATGTTTACCTTTTCCATCACAAGATCAGAGAGCTGTAGCTGTTTATTTTAACTAGTACACCCATCTGAAATTACGCTAGTGTCTGAAGGATATATCAGTTGGAGTTTCATTTAAGAAATCCAGGCCTCAGCTTCTGACTGGAATTGCTTGTGGAACAGATGTTGGTTTTGACTGTGTGTTGTTGTGAGACTGTACCACCATTGTGACTGAAATTGTGCACATTCAGCCTGTCCACCACTGTATTAAGTTTTTGGGAAGGTGAAACTAATGCTTAATACTTCATCTATTTTTATGTGATATGATGGATAAGAGTGTGAATCTTCAACCTGGGCTTTAGAATATGTGTATAGGAACTGATAAATACTGTAAGTGACAGAATTTGTGGTTGCTCCCTTTGTACGCTGGTAGTTGGGGCGGTGAAAAATAGCTGCTGCATACTACTGAAAAGCCATGCAATTAAAGACAGTGAGAAGTTTAGACTTTTGTTTAAAAAAAAGCCCCAAGAGATAAAAATACTAACTAGTCTAAAGGTTTTCAGTCAGAAGACATATTTTTTTTATTTTCTCCTCTTCATTTTGCTTTAAATGGTTTGCTTTGTAAGGAACATTTCTCAGAAAAAAAAAAAAGAATTTAGATTAGAGAAATCTGTTTTCTGTCACCCTTGATCTGGAGAGTCTGTTTCAATCTAGCTTTGTAGCGATTTCATTGGCGTTTGTGTTGTAGTTAGCGTCAAGTGTGATAGATAGAAAATATTTGTGTGTCTGTTTGTTCTGAGTTATAGTACTCCTTATTGTTGTCTACAGCAGTAGTAGATAAAGAAAATTCTGACAGATGTCTCATTTTTGACTGTGTCCTCCTAATACATGTGTGTGTAAAGGGAATGCTGTCAGAAAATAAAGTGCAGTACTGAAAATAAAGAGTGCCTTATTGAAATCAAGTTTAAGAGCCTTCAGTATTGGTTTAAGGGTGCGAGTGAGGAACCTACAGTAGGTTTCAAATATCAGATCTGAAGGAGAGCTGGTCTATTGGCATGCAAGGCTGGGCTGGGCTGGTGCCTGCCTAGAGCTCTGGAGTCAGTTCAGAGCACCTTAATTCCCACGGGACCTGTGTTTCTGAAATACCTGAAATAAAATACAGGTATCGATCACAGGTGTGGATAATCTTTACTGCATCGGGTCTTCTCACTTGCACAGGGATCTGTGAGGGATATTTAATCTACATTGAATTGGTTTCTGATAAATAAAGGGAATGTGTTTCCATTCCTAGACTGAAATTGGGGAGTTCTGTGCTGCATGAAATATGATCAATTTTTTCTGTTTTCAGTCACTTCTGTTCAGTAGTGACATTAGTTAATATGAATTGCCTGTAAAGATGCCTGTAAAAGTGGATGCTTGATTATAGTGAATTTAATGCAATCAATGTTCAAATGATACTCCTAATCTGAGAATGAAGTTCTGTGTGGGTGGTACATTGAGAACAGAAGTATAGAGAAATGAGCATCTATTAAGATTTATACAATTGCACCCCACAGACTCTTTTTTTTTCCCTCTAAAATTGGGAATGAGAGCTTATGGAAATCTTTGGGTTTAATTTTCTAGAAAAGCTGAAATTTACACCAATGTAAAATATTGCATTGCCTTCAAAATTGATAAAAAATTGAAAGTATTGTAAAGAGAAATCTGATCATGCTTGCAACTAGCAGAATTAGATTTGTTGATAATGAAAGCAGTTTTAAAGTACTTTAATAATTTTGAGGCCACAATGTTCAAATTCATTATAAATCTGGACTAAACCATTCTTAAATATGTAAAACTCATTAATTACTGTGAATGGAATGAAATGGAGGGCTCAGTCAGTGAACTTTTTACTGAGCTGATGAAACCAAACTTCATATATATCTAGGACTGTTGAAAACACTGTGGTTCAATTGATTGAAGCCTGCCTTTTGTATGTTGCTATATCCCGGAAGATTATTTTTAACATTTCAGTTTCAGTGAGATAAATAAAAAATATTTAGGAAATGAGATTGCTAACTTGATTTTATTCATTTCTTAAATATTGGGTTTGACTTAGTAATGGGCTTTGCTAAGATTTTTTCATTTCTTACCTTGATAGGAACCTTTTTATATGGGCAAAGGTATAGCATATGCACATTTGCAGAAGAAATAGCTGTCATTATCATCTGTGGAAAATCAATATATATTTTAAATATAGATTGATGACACTGTACCACCAGTATTGGAGCCTGGGAATTCTAGAGGGGTCAAGAACAGGACAACTGAGCACTTGCATCATCAAAGGAGATGAGATGCATTTACTCAGGCAGATTTTCCTCTGGGCCTGCCTTTAGACTCTGAATTGGAAAGAGTGAAATATTTACCCGACTTGGCGCTTGACAGTAAATAGTATTAATTAAATACAGGGCTTGAAAATGACACTGGTATTTCAGATTAAGGCCAGTAGATTTTGCCTTGGCTTTCTGGAAATTGAATTCCAGTAGTCTGTTTATTTGACAGCATTATAGTACAATAATTTGAGGTTCATGGATATTTCTGTGCATTAAAGTGGGTGAATTTTTATAATGTCACAATGCTGGGATGTTAGGCTCAGAAGACTTATGTGACTAGAATAGTAAGTGAATTTGCAGCTGATTAATATGAAGTGTGGCACAGTGTGTTTCCATCTGATTAATTTACCTTTATATTAACTGAACTGGCAAGAAATTACAGATTTTCTTTTAAAAAAACTTTGGATGTTGAAAAATAGAGATGAAAGGTCTTATCTAAGTTACAGATGTTAAGAAGTTAGATATTAAAATTATTTAGAGATATTGGTGAGTTTTACAGTATCATCGTGAAGGGCTCTAACTATTAAAAATGTTTTACAAAATCCTCCTCTATTTGT